GGTTTCTCACTGGACATTGCGGAATAAAAAAGCATCTAGCGAACCTAGATATTAGAAGAGCGATAGAGGCAGACTTTGTTACGAAGAAAAGAAAACAACAGAGCACATTCTGTGTCACTGTGATAGTCTCGCCAGACTCAGACTTCGGTACTTATCAACTACTTATCCACTTATAACTGAAGTAGGCAACATATCTCCAAAGGGCATAATGGCGTTTTTAACTGTTACTCGTGTATGACACTTAAGTTGGTAAGTCATAATAATCCTTAAACTGTGTAGTGACGTGGTGACAAATTCCCAAACACAACGATTGTGATTAGCTATTATTTGAAAGCACAAAGACTTGAACTTTCAACTACCAGATAATATACCTTCTTAATTAAATGGCTAATCAGATGTGTCAGATCATTATTGCAATAAATATAAATAAGTGTATTAAAATATTACTAACTAACACTTTTATAACAACCTTTTTGTAAAGAATAATTTCTACGATATACTAAAATTATTTTCAGTTCTATTATGATTCTCGTACTTTTACTTTTTGAGGAAATTATATATATGTTATTTTCATAGGAGTTTTTATTTCTCAATTAAATTTGTAGAAAACTGTGTTAAACTTCTAAGAGGAAAAAGATTACAATATTAACAAACATAACCAATATGGGAACAAAATATGTATTCAAGTTATTAATTTCGGGATCATGAACCTGACGCTTAAAACACAATATCAGCAAACTCTTTGCTTTTCCTCTTACTAATGAGACAAATAAGTGTTGGATAGAGACATTTATAACCAGATTCAACAACTAAATACAAGCATTATATATATATTCACTATTCATCTTCCATACACGCGCTTAGCATATCACGCCTCGATAATCTAGTAATATTTAATTCATAATCTCCTATTTGTAAATGATAAATACAAAAACTATCTATTATAATAATTGAAGTCTAGTCACGAGTACACAAGTTAAATATGAAAATAAAACTATTTCAATCACCACGTACGTTTCATATTCTTTTTTCTCAAGGAAGGGTTTGGACAACAAATATTAACTTAACAAATAATAAAAGGAAGTGAAGTGTATATACGAAATTAATTTTGTCTTCACCACGATTTGTAGTAATTGGAACACTTAACGTTAATTGGAGGCGGTGGTTGACCTGAAAATACTTTCATTAACAAGTTAACGAACTCATTTGTATTCAGTGGAAGTAAAATATTAAGTAAGTTTGACGAAAAATAATGTATCTACGTAACGTAGGTGTGACTGAACCATTTATGAAATAATATTTGGTGTTATTCGTAGAAAGGCAAATAAACACAACATTTTATTTTGTTCTCATTAGTTAGTAGTTTAGTTCTTTTTCCACCAAAATTGCTTCTCTTGCTAAAAATATAATAGTAAGTTATTTATAAAAAGTAAAATTAATGAATTCAGTATTATTTAGGAGAACCCAGTAGAACTTCTAAAGTTAGGTATAGTAAGCACAATAATTCTAAACTTGAGTAGGAAATCGATTAAAGCTTGTAATATAAATTTATCTATTTTATTTAATATTAAGCAATTTTATAAAATAAAAAGTCTAATATTATGGCTTAAGGGCTAAGTTGTAAGAGATGCTAAGGAAAGGCATTCATTTTAAGCTAGTACTCTTATCAGTACATTAAAGTAGTTTAATTGGTTTTAACCTAAGAAACAAGTTTAAATGAAGTTTAACTTTAAACTTTAAGTTTAAATGATTTTCAATCTCACAGATGCAATCAACCCTTACTACAGTTTATAATCACAGAATAGAATTACGCATATTACATTAAACATATAATGTTGTTGAGATTATTTCTCACTACAATATAATATATGTAATTAATTTCATAAGAAATTTTAATTAATAATTTATAACATTTTTAATTTATAAGTTATAAATAATTCATTAATATATAATTTTCAATATATAAAATTAACAACAATTTTATGTTATTCTACTACTAATTATATCATCTATATATTATATCAACAGTTCTGTTTTCCATTCATATTTCATATTTTATTCAAAAATAAAAGAAATGGATTAAATAAACACTAATTTATAATCGTAAAGTTAATCTACACAAATGTGGTCCAAATTAAATGTACTTTTGTTTAACGTTCGCTAACATAAGACTACATGGTTCTAATTTCAAAGGATTCAATTCTTGACCCTGCAGTACAGAAATTATATATACCTATAATATAGGTATATATATACCTACAATATAGGTATACATAATATAGGTCCTATATTTACTATATATACTACGACTAATTTTTTACACTCTTCTTAGAGCATATGACCTCAAATATCGATTGAAATCATATTCTATTAGGATAATTTCTTGTGATATCATTTCAAGTAAATCTAGCATATTTTAATTCTTTTACAATTATTATTGGTTCCATCGCAGTACTTGCCCTGCTATATTATTTACAGTTAATCGAAGTGTATGTCTGATCCAGGACCATTTGCGTTTTATTATCTCCGTTGTAACTTAGAATTGGTTTATTCTCCCCCATAATTCGGTGTTCGATATTCTTTCTGGCTAACGCATTTTAAGTATTCGACAGAGATATCACACTTTATCTATATCCTTTCTATAGATACTGTAGATAGTTATTTTTTTAATATTAGTATGAAATATTATATCGTAGAACTTTTAATATTTCTCATAACATTAATATTTTTAGTCCATTATTATTTTTTAAAGTGTCGAATCAAAATGTGATGAAAAATATCAAATAATAACTCTCCGGTCTGCCGGATATTTGCCAAAACTGTTAACAAACTCCTATGATAGGTGGATAGTAGCATCAAACGATTGTTGTCAAAGATTTCATGATATTCAGCCAATTAGTTTGCTGATTGCAGTGATTGTGGTGACCGCAATTTTGTGATTTTCACACCA